ATCTTGTAACCATACTTAAAAATTAGGTAAATAAATATAAATTATCGCCTCTTTCTATTCTAGAATGAACACAAATTATAACACAAAAACATAAATGTTTAGACAAAATAGCTTAAATCTCATAACATTATTCATTTATATATATATTTATTATTTTTATTATATTGACCTTTCAGTCGTGCCTGGTTAACAATACAAAAGTTACAATGACGCGGTACACATGTACTCATGTCACCATATCAAATAACATAAAACTGACCTTTGTTCTGTACAAAGTAACTTGTCTTAGCTGTGTTTTAGTAGACTCGTATTTTGTAAAATACAGTCACGTTTCAATTATACTTGTACATAGATTATTGCTATTTTGAAATCAGTTCCTAAACTTATTTTTCTTCAAACATAGAACAGTAAATAAAGAAGTACTATTAGGACATTTGTACTCAGTTGCTGCTTGCTGTAGGTTGCTAAGCCCTTAAAAAATTAGCACGTGTAGGATATGAAACAAAATAATTTTTTTAGGTTTTATATATACATTTGAATAAACAAAAAAAATCATAAATTATTATATCAATATCATAGAATTCAACTATAATTTATCAAACTTAGTAACTAAGATGTATTTTACTCTAAAAAAATATGAAATTTTGAGCAGACTAAAGACACAACCTACCTCATTAAAATCTTGGTTCAAAAGAAAGAAATGATGGAAGAAACATTAGTAAAGCTGAGAAAACCACAAGGGGACATTTTAAGCTTTCTGATTGGTTATTCATGTCGTATGTAGAAGTAAGTGTATGTAATGGAGCGTTTCCAAAAATTGAAAGAAGTGGGTGGGGTGCCACTGTGTTTGATTTATTACATGAGCAGTATCTTAACAAATAGAAAATATAAGACCTGATTTTATATTTTAGCTTGTCAGTATCTGTAATTTGGGTTTCCATGAAACTGTAGACTTAGTATTTTGACTTCACAAACATCTAATTTGAACCAGTGCTGCATTCAACATACCACATTTCAAACAAAAATCAATGTTTATCTGTGTTTTTAATATTTACTTTTAAATTTAAAAACTGAGTAATGTATAGTACTAAAATTTGAATTATAATCTACAGTTTGATACCAAACTTATTGACATAAATTCATGAAATAGTAGTTCAATAAAATTTTGAATGCAAGTCAACAAATGCAGTGACATGGTCTTTCACCTGTGACCCGTATCGAAATGGTTAACATCTGTTTTCTTTTGATTGTATGATTTTATTGCTGTACTTTATACCCACTGGAGCAGTAATCTTTGTGTCAAAATAAATAACTCGCAGTAAGAGCCCCTTAGCTGTTTCCTATTGAGCCAATGTTAATATCATATGATTGTGATGTGTCATGTTATAAATGTACTTGAGCTTGTGAAATATTAGACATTTTATTTTACTGAAATTTTGCCATCCTCTGCTAAGAAAGTTCTAATTTTTACATTTTAGTTACCTTTGTTATCAGTAAATAAAATATTTACATAAATACAAGAATTAGTAGTATTTATTGAATAACTTCTCATTTGCACTCAAATAAGAGTTTAAGATGTTTTTCCTTAAACCTTGTCAAGTCTCAAATTTGAGTGTCCAAAAATATTCATGAAGAATATGAAATATTAGAAGAGAAATAATTTATCAGTCACTACAACAAGATGTTCCAAAATTACTAACTAACCTATTCATAGGTCAAAAAAGTAGCTTTAATGCTTGGAACTACAAAATATAATCACCACAAACTAAACAATTCTACTGGCTGTAAGATTTGTGTAGAGGAGAATATGCTCTTTCTATTGGTTATAAACATATACATCAGCCATATACAGTTGATTAACATTCTCATATAGAGAGAGCTTTTCTGGTGGGTTTGACACATTTATTAGTTTCTCAGTGAATTGAAAAGATAGAAGGCTCTACTTTTTAAATATTATTTATAATTATGTATAACTTACATTTCTTATTGGATGGAACCTGCAGCAGTTTAGTTTTTGTCCTAAAAATCTTAAAGGAAGAAATTGGAGTTCAGACATGGCATATTACACAGGAAAAGGATGATTCAGAATTTTTTTTTAAATTAAGAAGTTAAAACTTACATAATATGCAAATTGTAATTATAAACTGTTTTTATTGACAAACATTAGATAATAAAGTTGGCTAATTAAACTGTGGATGTAACATTGGAAAAGATTGTAACATACGCAAAAGAGCTAGGCTCTAATGCAGAGGGTTTACAAGAATCATATTATGTAGCCTGACAAAGGTAGTGGTGATGCCATTTTGAAAGAAAAAGACCTAGATCATCATCAAATCTTTTTTCAGTTTTTGCCTTCTGTTTTATGATTTATAGCTGTTAATGGTTGTTACTGCTGCGGACAAATTAAAGTATCAAAATAAATTTCTTAATGAACATCAATTAGTGGAAACTATCTGGATAAAGAAAATGGGATTTTTATGATGAAGAAAAAACAAAATTTGTGGGCTGAGCACTGCTCAGAAGGTAGCATGCCTGATTGTGGATCTGAAGTTTTGTGGTAAGCTCTGCTCCCACCCAAATAAAAATAAAAGAAATAAAAATTTGCTCCACACTTTTTTTGGGCCATGCATTATATATGTGATGATTTAATCACACTACTCAGTTATAGTAGCTTAAAAGTTTGTGAGGGCTCTATGACTCTTGTTGACTAGCTGGCTTCCCTTTAATCTGTCTCTTCAAAAGTAAGGACAGTTATCACAAATAGCCCTCAATTAGCACTGCATCAAATTCAAGAACAAAATTTGAAATTATAAAAAACGAAAGAAATTTTTATCATAATATTATCTTGCAACAAAATTTATGAATTTTCACAACCAAAAAATTGGTAGAAATACTAAATCAATTTGTATGATTCTTTTAAAGTCAAAACTAAGATTCTGTATAGATGTTTTGCATGTACTTCTTTTTTGCCCTTGTAAACAGAAAATAGAAAAGCTAAAAAATTATGCTAGTTCTCATTTGTTATCCATTTTATTCACAGCTTACACTCCCTGAACCTTCAGTGAATAGTAAATACTTATAACAATCTACTGGACATTAGTGCACCTTAATATCCCAGACAAGTTATTAAGCTGCATTTTGGTGCTGTGAATTAAGAATTTTTGAGTTTATTTTGAATATGCTTTATTTTCCATTTGGCTCTCTCATTCTGTAAAGTTCGTAAGGTTCTGTGTAGACTTTAACCTACGAGCATATGTCTAGAAGTATTGGAATATATATCAGTTTGTTTAACCTAAACCAATTCTGGAATGGAATGGTATCACTGATATCCCATTTTCTTTCCTTTCTTAGGGGAAATAATTAACAAAATTGCATGAAACTTAGTAAAAATGTACTACTTAGTGTCTAGAAAAATTTATCTATGTAAACGTAAATAACATTGTATGCTGGGAAGCTAAAATTAGCAGTAGTAACCAGGATTGTTTTCAGGGACCCTCCACCTTTGCTGCCATCAGACACTGGACAAGGATACAAGCAAGTTAAAGCTAAGCTTGGTCTGAAAAAGGTTCGTCCATGGAGGTGGTTGTCATTTTCTAACTCAGCTAGAAAGGTAAAGTATTCATACAGTGTTTCATTCTTTCCAGATATTTAATGAGGATTTATTTTTGAATAATATAACACAGTTCCTTACATATACTTTAAATTTTAGTCATAAAAATGCTTAGAATAAGTGAGTTATGGTATACTGTTGTTGTCGGGCTTGAGAGAAATTTATCATTGTTCTACTCATGAAAACAGGAATTGTTAGTTGTAAAATGTGAAAGCAAAGTGAGTTTTAGAAGGAAGCTAAACCTACATTTTGGCTAATTTGAATTGTGGTGTGATTGTTTAATTACTTTAAAACCTAAAAATAAGTCTTAAAAGCCATTTTATATATTGAGGTATTAATTTTTTTCATGCTGGTTACAATGAACTGTAGTTTCAGATTTTTGTGATCACATGAAGTGTTTTAATCCCAGGTAACTTGTATGTAAAAAAAAAAAAATTCTTTAATGACAAGCAAGTTTCAAGTTCATATCTGTTTAAGCTGTAAACAGCAAATGATACATTTACCTTGGGATTGCATTGTTGTGGTTTTTATAAATAAATTTTTTTATTAATTACATGCTCTAAAGTGAACTTAAAACCTACATCTGTTGCATTTTAACTAAACAACCAGCTGGTTTAATAAAATTGGGTCAGTGTTTTATCAGCAATTTAGATATAACACAGGCCTGCAATGGTTTTATTTATTGTCTTCATATTTTTATATGTTCTACAGTAATTCCTCTACACTGAATCTGAAAGAGATATCAGTTTTTCTCCATCACATACAGATTTTTAACAAAACGTCATAATGCAATACATAAAAGAAACACCACAAAACATAGTTTGGAGACTAAAAGACGTAGATTTCACACAAGAAAACCAGGGTGAATGAGAATGCATATTTATTTGAGATCAGTGTCCTTTCCTTTTCTTCAGTTTGTTTGTATTTTTCTTAACAAACATAATAAAAAAATGTTTATTGTGGTAAATGAAATAATAATTTGATCTAAGTAAAAGTTTTTTTCTTCCCAATTTGTAAAAAAAATCTTTATATGATAGAAAAAAAGTAATATTATTTTTGAAATCTGCGTAGCTGAGTTATGGAAAATTTATTATTAAAACCAAAACAACTTTTATGAAGTTTAAATTTGCAGACCTGTGTAATTGAAGTAAGTCAACTTTATAAAGGTTTAAAACAGGACCCAGTTACC